CAGCCATCTATATTTTAGAGCCTCTTGTCTACAGAACCTTCTGAGCCAGAGAATTTAGGACCATTCATAGTTACAATCTACAAAACGTTTAAGTCTGAATTGGGCATGGTGGTGCATCATGCCTGTAATCCTGGCACTTGGAAAAGCTGGGGCAGGAGGATCACTGTGAGTTTGAGGGGGGAGAGAGGGGCGGGGAGGGAAGGAGGGAGGGAGGGAGGGAGAATTTTAAATTCTAATTTTGGCTAGTATTTAAGAAGTGGGGGATCAAAATGGCATGGTCTTAAGAATTCTTAGCCACTCTCCATATTTTCCTTGTATTGTATCTATATAGCCCGTCCCCTCCATCCTCAAATGATCCTTTCTTAGTTCTAAAATCAAGGCGATAAAGCTCTGGGGAGTCCCTGTACCAACTTATACTCTCCCCACCATCAGTCTGGGAACCGTAAGTAAAGACACTTGACCTTCTAGGATTCTGGGATCAGTCCTGAGGACCTGAGAAGGGCTGGCCGCATCACAAAGCTGCATTCTGCTGACGTCAATGCCCTATGCTTCCCACTATGGGAGCACTCATCTGCTATGGCTTGATTCCTGAATGTTCACCACAGGGTTGTTTTGAACACTTGGTCACCAGCCTGTGGTGCTGGTTGGAAGGCTGTGGAGTCTTTAGGAAGTGGGACTGGTGGACAAAAGTAGGTCATTGGGGGTGTGCCTTGGAAGGTTGTGCCTGTCTCTGGTTCTGACCTGCCCTGTCTGCTTCCTGGTCCACCATGATCTGAGAACCTTCGCCACACACTCCCACTGCCAGGAGCTTCCCCACGCATTCCCTTTACACTGTTTTTGTCACAGTCACAAGGAAAGGAACTAATACACCACCGAGTCCAGGTGACCCTAAACTCCATCCACAAGAGAAAGTCTGACTGTGTGGCTAGTCAGAAAACCAAAGTGAGGAGGGTCACTCACCCATCCAGATCCTAGAAACAGGACCAAGGAGGACCATCTGCTGGGACAGGCCACTTTGGGCCACCAACGAACTCCCTGAAGGGTTTTTTTTTAAAGAAGTACAGACACAGTAATGCATTACCAAGACATTTATAAAGCCCTGTTTTTTGAGGGTTGACACCTACTTTTAACTTTAAAACTGTATGCTACTTAAACTTTTCTACATTAAGGTTTTCCCCAAAATAAATTCTAACAAACAGCTCAATTTTAAAAAGTCTATAAACATTAAATATTTTAGTACATTTATTTACCTCACCCCTAACTAACCAGGGGCTGAGAATATATTTTTGGTGAAGAGAGTTAATTTCCTAGATTAAACATGCACATAAACACATAAAGGTGACACCATTTTGAGATATATGGCGCTAATAAAGGTAACGTTACTGGGCCAGCAACTGGGCTAAGCGCTTTATTGGATTTCCTCAGTTAATCCTCACAGCAGATCTACAAAGTAGCTGTTATTCTTATTCTATTTTATAGATGTGGTTATAAACGAGAGGTTTCATCACAGCCATTAAATCTTCACCAGAATTTCCAGTTCGGTGTTCACTCTGACTATAAAAAAAACCATAATAAATTCACATAAAAAAAGATTGAGTTAACAAATTAGAAATTAAAGAGGATTGAAAAAGACACAGGTAGCTCACTAGATTGAAGATCCTGCATCCTAAGACTTACTGTACTGGAAAACAGATGCTAGTCGATGCCAACCAGAACTACCGAGGGAGGCTCTGCCAGGAGCTAAGTTGCATTAAAGCACTTTCAGACTCCAGAGGAGGCTCAGTGGGGAAAGTGCTTACCATGTAGGCTTGAGGACCTAAGGTTCGTCCCCAGCGCCCCATATGGAAAGATGTGGTGGCTGTCACTTGTAATCCCAGGACTGCAGAGGTGGAAACAAGAGGACCCTGGAGCTCACTAGCCTAATTGGGGATGTCCAGGTTCCAGTGAAAGAAACTATTGAAAAAAACGAGGTAAAGGGCTCCTAAGGAAAGACACCTGAGAGGGCTGGAGAGATGGCTCAGGGGTTAAGAACACTGGCTGTTCTTGCAAAGGACCCATGTTTGAATCCCAGCACCAATATGGTGGCTAACAACCATCTGTAACTCCAGTTCCAGGGGATCTAACACCCCCTCTGTCCTCCATGGGCACTGCATGACACAGGTGCACTTATATACATGCAGGCATAACACTCATACACATAAAATAAATAAATAAATAAAACAAAGAAAGGTACCCGAGGTTGCCTCTGGCCTCCATATGCGTGCACACACATGGGCACACACACACAGACACACATGCACACACTCTTTTAACATCCAGACTTTGAGTAGTTAGGAGTGGGTTTCCTCTTGGAACCATCTGTCCAAATCAGTAAGGTTCTGACCACACGGTATGTTGGATGTCAGCTGTTGTTCCCAGTATCCACTTTGCCTCCCCAAGCAGCACCCAAAGCTCTGTTCTACCTTCTTCCCCACAGCCCAGTGCAAAACCCTGGCAGCAAAGCAACTAGAAATAGAGAGAAGAAACTGGACAGTTTAGGATAGTTGAGCTGCTGGAGCACACTCTCCCTGCAGTCCACCCTGACTTTGCACACTGGCAGCACAGATCCTCTGGCTTTGGTCTTTTCAGTATTCACAGACTCCATGAAGCCAAAACATAAACAAGAAACAGGAGCTTCTGTGGATCTGACTGTTTGTCCTTCCAAAATTCATGTGCTAAAATCCTAAAGCCCAAGAGGATGGTGGGGCCTTGGGAAGCAATTAGGTAATTAGGAGATAGAATTAACGAGCTTTTAATAAATGAAGTCTGAGAGGGCTGGGGATGTAGCTCAGCAAGTACAGTGCTTGTCTAGCATGCACAAGCCCTGGGAACAAGCCATGTGGTGGCGCACACCAGGAATCCCAGCACTGCAGAGGCGCAGGCACGAGGATCAGGAGCTCAAGGTCATCCTCTGCTACCTACAAAGTTTTAGGCCAGACTGGGATATGTGAGACCTTGGTCAAAAGTAAATAAGTCTGAGATATCCCTGACCCCTTCCACTGTGGGATGGAAAAGCCTGCAGTCTGGAAGAGTGCCCTCACCAGAGCTTGACCATGCTGGTATTTCTTCTACCATGCCAGCCTCGAGGACCGAGAATAGCCTTGCTGCTGTAAAGTACCCTGACCATGGAGCTGTTCTGACAGCCCCTGAGGCCCAAGACAAGCACAGATCCCTGGTCTTTCCCCAGCACTTGCCTGGATTTTTGCTTTCCACTGTTTCTCAGCTGGTTCAGTGCTGCTTAGTGAGAAACAGATCAGGCTTCCAAGAAACTCTTTAGAGAATGAATGGGTAGACTTGGGCAGGTCATTTGACATCCTGGGTCTTTTCAACTCCAAAAAAGGAGAGATGTCTGTGGCTCCTCATAGGCCTCTAACAGTACAGGTCAACAGTACATGTTGCTGACCCAATAATAAAATTTTACTCATTCAAACATAAAACTATTCTTCTCCCCTGGGACTGGGGATGGAACCCAGGGCCCCACGATGCGAGACAAGCCCTCTGAGCTACATCTCCAGTACGCACAACCCTTTTTTGATACTAAAACGAAAAGAGTCTAAGTGACCTGCATTCTTTGGTCCTATCAGGCTATATGATGACTGATCTCAGTCATCAATCTGACTGGATCTTGAATTAACTAAATGTGAGTGACCTTGATCAGATTATTGGAAGCTGGAAGACCCACGCTAAAAGTGGCTGGCACCTTCTGGTGGTAGTCATACAAAAGGCCACAGCAGAGGGAGCTTCATATCTTCTGGCTTGCCTTCTCTCTCACTGGGGAGTTTATCTTGCTGCTGTGGCATTGCTTTGCCAACATTAGAACCAACTTTTTCAGGTTCCAACATAGACTGAAGACCAGCTGATCTCCAGGAATCCTCCAGGCCTTTGGTGCCAGACTGGGATTGCTGGATGTCCAGCCTCATGCACTGAGCAACTATTGGGTTCTCAGCCTCTCCAGTGTGACACAGCTTTGTTGGAATACTCAGACCCTGTCCTGTAAGCCAAGCTAATAAATCCCCGTAATATATACAACCATATATACACATACATATATATGTATGTGTGTGTGTACACACACACATAAGCTGTAATGTATATACAACTGCCTATAACTCAAGTTCCAAGGGATCTGATGCCCTCTTCCAGCCTTCTTAGCACTAGGTTTATATGCACAAACTCAAACACAGACACACACATTTACACATAATTAAAAATGAAAAAGTGCCCAGTGTGGTGGTGCATGCCTTTAGTCCTAGCACTTGGGAGGCAGAGGCAGGCGGATTTCTGTGAGTGCAAGGCCAGGCTGGTCTACATAGTGAGTTCAGGTCAGGTGGGACCACAGGGAGACCCTATCTCAAAAAGACAAAAGAAAAAAAAAAGTATTAAAAGGATCAGCCATCACAATTACAATTCTCCAGCAACATGTATCCCAGTATTTTTAGTTCCTTCTGAACACCCCAGCACTCCATCCACAAACATCCTTTCACCCTTAGCTGTTTACAACTCTGCAAAGAGAGACAGAACAGGATGCCCTCTGCCTACTCCAATGCTGAAAATCCATGTATACATCCATTGACTATTTCCCAGGGAGAATTTTCCAGAAGCCTTTGGGTATCCAGGACCACAGCAGCCCTTTTTGTTGTTGTTTCACAACAGGAGTCAAAGGAACAACCTTATGGGGGCATGGAGAAATGGCTCAGTGGCTAAGAGCACCAGTTGCTCTTATAGAGGACTTAGGTTTGATTCCCAGCACCCACATGGCAGCTAACAACTGTCCATAACTCCAGTTCCAGGGGATCCAACATCCTCCTCTGACCTCCTTGGGCATTATATGACACAACTGCACTTACATACACACAGGCAATATACTTATACACATAAAATAAAAATAATATTTTTAAAGAAATAACCTTATAATCCCCCTGCTATCAAATGTTCTGACAGCAGAATCTGAGAGAAGCTACCTGTTTCAGGGTTAAGATGGATGATCACTCCTTCAACGTCCTGCTTTCGTGCCTTCCTCCTTCCACATCCTCCAGAACCAGAACCTGTAGGAGTGACCCAAACAACATGTTCAGGAGATTTGACTATGACATGGGCACAGGTAACGACCACGAGGGTGGAGCTGGAGGAGTGGCCAGGGATGAGTCCTGAAGAAGCCCACAGCTGCTGGCATCTGGGAGGAGGACCGAGCCCGGCTGTTGAGGAAGGTCTATGGGGAGGGGCAGGGTTCAGGGGAGGCAGACATAAACTCCACTCTTCTACTGTTCAAGTCATAAACCCGAGACAGTCAGGCTAGCCTCTTTCCCCCACCCTCTGTTTAATTCACGGGTGAATGATGTCAACGTCAGCTTTGAAACATATCTGAGGTTGCACCATTTTTAAACTGCTCTACTGCAGCCATCGTGGTTCAAGTTAGCCAGAGGCAGAAGCCGTACAGTGGCCGCCTCATTAGTGGCTCTCTCGCTTCTCCCTCACCTGTCCATCCTCTGGGTCTTAGGAGCTGGATTATGTTATGAGCTAAACTGCGCCTCCTACAAACTCCCATGTTGAAGTCCTAATATGGTATCTCAGAATAGGACATATTTAGAAACCGGGTCAACGCAGATGTAATCTTTTAAAGTTAGGATGGGGCCATACTGATGCAGGGTTGGCAGTCCCTAATCTGATATGACTGCTGTCTTCACCAAAGGGGAAATTTGGACACAGAGAGACACAGAAGGGGAAGAACACCACAGAAGACGGGTTATTCTGCCACTGGTCAAGAAGCTTCTAGAAGCTGAGACAGGCCTAGAACTTGACTAGCGTTTTTGGAGGGAGCAAAGGCTTGCCCACACTTTGATCTTATACTCCCAGCCTGCAGAACTGTGAGGCAAGGCATTTCCAGTGTTTAAGCCACTCGCTTTGCATGCCACTTTATTATGCAGCTAGAGGAAAGTAGCACTCTGCAGCCTGTGCGAGGGGAAGAATCACTCATGGCTGGGGAGATGGCTCAGCCAGGAACGTGCCTGATACATGTACAGGCCATGAGAACTCAGGTCCTCAGAAATCACCTAAAACAACAACAACAACAAAAGGTCGGCTTGGTAGCAGGTGCCGTACTCCTAGTTCTGGAGAGGTCTGGAGCCAGAAGGGTCCCTGGACTTGTCTGGCCAGCCAGCCTAGCCTAGCCTAATCAGTGAGCACCAGACCAATTTGGGCCCTGTTGCGAAACAAGGTGTGTGGCTCCTGAGAAATGACAACCAAATTGTCTCTGACCTACACACACACACACAGAGAGAGAGAGAGAGAAAGAGAGAGAGAGAGAGAGAGAGACAGAGAGACAGAGAGACCTGCAGGTGCACACACACACACAAACTTGTACACACATAGAGACACAGAAAGGAGACCGACTTGTACACATGCATGCACATACACACTCACAGAGAGACAGAGAGAGACCTGCACACACCAGATAGAGACTTGTACAGAGAGAGAGAGAGAGAGAGAGAGAGAGAGAGAGAGAGAGAGAGAGAGAGGCGAGAGGAGAGAGAGACATATATATAGAGACATAAAAAACACTGCTCAAACTACTACAGTATTTCATTCCCTTAAAGCAAAACAAAAACCCTGCAAATGGCCCACAAATTCCACAGGCCCTGACTGTCTCCTCCCTGGCTTCCTTTCCTCCCCTGCCCTTCCTCAACATCCTCCAGTCCCAGAGGCTGTCTCCACATCCCGATCCCACCCAGAATCTAGCCTCAGGCCCCCTACACAGTCTCTCCCCTGCCTGGGACTTTCTCCCTGAAGCCCCTTCCCTTCCTTGCAGTTACCCCTCTACCACACCGTTCACGGAGGCGGCCCCCAACCCCAGCGCTGATCTAGCTTCCTTTTCTGTTGCTTTTTTTTTTTTTTTTGGTACCCCTTCTCATCACCTAGCACTTTTTTCCTTTTTTCTTTGTATTATTTTATGTCTGTGTACTTTATGTTGTGGATGTGTGTGCAGGTGTGTGTGGAAATCAGAGGTTGATCCCCAGTGATTTCCTAATTGTTCTCTACTTTATTTATTTGTTTGTTTGTTTATTAGTCTCCTTTGAGACAGGGTCTCCCTGGAACCCCGGCTGGCCTGAAGTGGCTATGTAGACCAGGCTAGCCTCACGGGACTAAAGGCGGGCCCCACCACACCCGGTTCCATTGTATGTTTTGAGGCAGGCTTTCTCAGTGAACCCCAAGCGCACTGACTAGCTCTGCTGGCTGGCCAGAAAGCCCCAGGGGTCCTATTTTTTTGGACTGATTTTTATTTTCTGTGTATGAGTGTATTGCCTACATGTATGTAAGTGCGCCTGTGTTTTACAGTGCCCACGGAGGGCAGAAGAGGGTGTCGGATCCCCTGTAACTGGAGTTATGCATAGTTATTAGCCACAATGGGGGTGCGCAAAATCGAACCTGGTTCTCTGCAAGAGCAGCCAGTGCTCTTAATCACTGAGCCATATCTCCAGTCCAGCTGTTTTTTATTTTATTTTATGTGTATGTGTGTGAGCCCATGTGAGTACATGTACACCACATAAGTGCAGTGCCCATGGAGGCCAGAAGAGGCTGATGAATCCCCTGGAACTGGAATTACAGGCCACTGTTAGTCACCATATGGTATCCTGGGAATGGAACCCAGGTCTGAGCCATCTAAGACATCTCTCCAGGCTCTTTTTATTTGAGCTCTGGGTATCAAACTCAGGTCCCCATGCTCACAGAGCAAGCACTTCTCTTATTGAATCATTTCCCTAGTCCCTTTCTTTTTTATCGCATTGATTGATTGATTGATTGATGATTGATTGATTGGCTGATTGCATATGTGTGGATGTTCCAATGCTAAGACCTGCATGTGGTGGTTGAAGACCACTTGTAAGAGTCAGGTCTCTCCTTCTACCATGTGGGTCCTGGGGATCGAATTCAGGTCATCAGTCTTGGTGGCAAGCACCTTTATCCGTTGAGCCATCTTTTTGAAAGCCTTGTTTCTCCACACCGACTTCCGAATCTGTGAGAGTCATACCCTTGTATTGTGGTAAGTTCCAGAACCTGGCACATGGTAGGCGCTCAGGAAACACTTGTTGAAAGATTTATTGTGGATCAAAGCAGGAGAGAACAACACAGGGATGCAAGGAAGAGCAAGTAGTGTCTAGCATCAGAAGGAGTAGAGGCCAGAAAGATAAGGACCGATGTGTTAATGTGGCAACATGGGCCCCAGAAGAACCTCAGAGAGGCTCAGAGGTGCCAGAAGGCAGGAGCCCTTGGCTGTGTACTCCACAAGTGCCTGTTGTGAGCAAGGCTCGCCTGCCATCTGCAATCCCTGCACTCCTACTGGGAGATGGGAAGTGGAGACGGGAGACTCCCGACAGTTCACAGGTCAGCTAAGCTGGTGTGCACGCAATCAGCAAGAGACCTGCCTCAAACAAGGTGGAAGGCAAGGACAGACACCCGAGGTTGTGAGGGTGTCCTTCACATGAGCACTGTGGTACTCGAACTCCTCTCTCTCTCTCTCTCTCTCTCTCTCTCTCTCACACACACACACACACACACACACACACACACACACACACACATGCACTTAAAAAAAATCTGTATTGCTTCTTGATTTTTTTAAAAAACTATTTTCTTTTCTTTTTTTTTGTCTTTTTGAGACAGGGTCTCCCTATAGCCCCAGCTGTCCTGGAACTCACTATATAGACCAGGCTGGCCTTGAACTCACAGAGATTCACCTGCCTTTGCCTCCCAAGTGCTGGGATTAAAGGCGTGCAGCACCACGCCCAGCTCAGTTTTCTTTTTTAAATTTTTTTTACATTGATTGGTTGATTGATTGATCGACTGTACATATGTGGATGCGTGCATGTGTGGCGGTCAGAAGACAGCTTTCAGGTGTTCTCCTGCAATGTGGCTCCTAGAGCTCAAACTCAGGTAGTCAGGGGTGGCAGCAGGTGCCTTTACCCCTTTACCATGAACATATCCAAATAAAACTTCACCTAGTATTGTTTAACCCATTCCTGTTATTTAGATGGTTCAGATGGAAACTTCACAGTCATCTCTCCTTTGCAAATGGCACACAAGTCTTCTTCAACTATGCTTTGTGAAGCATCCCTAACTACCCCCTCCCCACTCCACCGAGAGTCCTTTAGGACCCAACAATGAGCACTTTGCTCCCCTGCGGGTCTGCCCCTGCAGGTCTCCAGGCTTCTGGGCCCTCTCTAGAAGTCCACTGAGTGGAACCCTCAACTCCCCAGTTTGCTGAACCCTCTCTGGTCTTCCTAGGGCTTAACGCAGCCCTCCTGTCCTCTGAGCTCACTGTGTTTAGCTCTTCTGGGTAAATGTTCTGGCTGACATGGGGACTGAAACTCCCCTGAGGGTAACTGCGACTTTGTTGAAACCCTTGCAGCTGCTCACCGACCAACAGTGGATCCACAGCACACTGTGATGCTCGTGAGATGTAACTTTAAAGGGCTTTCAAAAAGCAGAACTGGGGGGATAAGGGCAGCACACTGGCCTTCTAGATGCTTCTGCAGTTACCTCTATTGTTCCTCTGCAGAAGGCTGTGCATCTTGGCACCTACTGGCAACCAGGCTAGTGAGGTGGAAGAAGAGGAAGATGTCTGGACTGTGCCCTCCCCTCCTTGTCCTGTGCCTGAAGATTCAAAACCTTGGAACCCTTCCTTAGCCACCTGTTTACATGTGCTCAGAGACACACCAGTATCTCCCCTTTGGCTTTCTTCAAAGGAAGTGCTTTCCAGATGAGCGGGATGGCTGACTGGAGGAGCTTATGGGTGCCCAGATAGTCAGTGCCAGGTACCAGGAGCAGGAAGAGTCCCCATGTTTGGGAAACGGGTTCATCCAGCTTCACTTCAATCAGCACTGACCACCCCACAACACTTGGATCTCCAGAGTCACAAGAGGAGGAGGATGGGGAGCTGTGAAAATCAGCCAAGCACTCAAGGGCCATTAAATCCTTCCTCACAGAGAAGGGCAGCCCTAAACAGCAATGACCTAGAAGGCTCTCATGGTGGTCGAAGTGATGTTGTCTGCTAAG